TGCGTGTTTCATGGTTTCGGCGTAGGCGTCGGCGTAACCGCGCTACATTTTCCAGGGAAATTGACGTCACGTGACTCAACACCAATTCATTTCCCCACTAAATTTAGCGGGGAAACTGAATTGGTGCATGAGTGGAGAGGAGGGGATGGAGGAAAAGAAGGAGGAGGGTAGGAGGAGAGGGTACGCAGGATGAGGGGGGGGCACACAGTCCCCTCCGTACCCTCTCCTTCTCCTCCTCAAAACCTGCGCTCTAATTTAACATTACATAAACTTGTAGACGTCTTTCATTTTTTTTTTGCTTAGTCTCCGATTTTGACGTCTTATAATATTATACCTTTCTTTTCTATGCTATCGAGCAATCAAATAATTATCGATTCGAAATATTTGCTGGTTGGCGTTAAATTTACAATGCACGGTCATTGTTACACTAAATACCACCACTCTTTGTGGAGAGTGTATTCCTCCGAAATCCTGGCAACATTATTTTAACACTTCATTTCGGTTTACTTATTTTACTTTATTCATACCTTCCCATTGCGTTACAGATAACAGGAGGTAAGCGTTATTTATATACACGTCAAAGTGAAAACTCAGAGAGCTCGGGTACTATTCATTGAAATAAATTTTAACAAAATAATAGTAATGTTGCAGATAGAAACCATTTGTGTTCTTTATGAATATTTACATTAAATAAGAAAGTACTTGACCAGCCGACATATCTAACTCATTGAAACCTGGAGAGAATCACCAATATATATATAAAATGTGACGGTTGGATAATTACCAACAAAACTAAACATGCATAACTTAAAACTAAATCTAACCACTAGCTCACAAATGACCAATTTGACATGCCTAAACAAAATGTTGGGATTCGATGAAATGAAAAAGCGCTTGTCGCTTTATAACTTTTTTATCTTCTGATGAACGAAGGAGAATGGAGAAGGGTCTAACAATAGAAGGAAATAGTATTGGCCGGGTTTTAGTGTGTTCGACTTTGGATACTGATAATTGTATTATTTTCGTCATACAACTTTTCTTGCGCTCTTTTTTTTATTTCATTTTTTTTTTGTGTCTTGTGTTTGCTGAGGTCAGGGCGGATAAAAGAGAGAAGTGGGGTGTCTTATTGGATAAGGATTATTCATTTTTATTTTAGATTGAGCTTTATCGTGAAGGCCGCGGGGTTGTTTCTGATCCAACAGTTTTGCTGTAACCAGAAACACAATTGTTTTCTATTCACAGATTAAAAGTGTCTTCCTTTTTATCAGCTTTGGATACTTCTTATGAAAACGTCCCTCCCAATGTGTGATGTTCCTTTTCGTTTTTTTCCCAAACTTTGTAACAAATGGTTGATGATGTGTAAAGTTTGACCAGATGCGTTGATATTTTTAGACTGAAATGTGAAAGAAAAACCACGACTGGAAATCTATTTACATTTAAAATCAATGTAACAATGGCAAATTTATAACGAAGAATAAACACGATACAGTGTCAAAGTTAAGTGTTTCTAAGATTTTTTTTTTGTTTTAGAATATAGCCGATTCTACTTAGTGCTCTTGTCACAATGTAATTTTGAGCCACATGTCACGAATCGTGTTATTCTACACTCAAACGGCAAGTGATTCTCTGACTCAGTGATTCTCTTTCCGTCTCAAAGGTTACTCACCATACCATGTCCACGTGCAAAAAAAGAGCGCCTTACAAATAAGATGCCTTTCCGGACAAAGCTGTTCGAGCCCGGCGGCTTCCAAGACATTTAGTTGAACGCTACTGCACATCACCTTCATCTTCATGATGCCTGTAATTTCACGCCCCTTTTGATTTGTATTCACTTTAAGCCCAAATCGCCGACAGCATTTCTCTCTTCGACAAAATCCTTCAACGCTATCCCCTACTCACCAACATGGAAGCAAACAAGTTCTCCCTATGGCATTTCTGGATGCCGGAGTTGATCCTGATGAAACACGGCGTACCTCGACAGAGCCCTTGCACGTCTCTAGAAATAAGGTCTGTGACGCTACATATAAAAAACATCCACTACAGTACATGTTGCCGCATTTATACTGCCTCCGATGGGATCCGTTTTATTTTTGTTTCGAAATAAACTTAATTTAGATACGTCGCCAGAAAGTCTCCTTCGGCCATGTCTACGTGCTCAAGCGACACAATCCCACCAGGGGTGTAACATGATGGTAGCGTGGGACGCGAATCTTCATGAAGCCTGCGTTGGCCCACGAGTCGCGTAGCAATATGAACCACCTCAGAAGACCCGCGCAAAGCCCCGCAAAACGTGGTCCGACTGTGAACGCGAAGAAAGCGACGAGGGGGAGGGTCAAGGACGGTGCGGGCCATGGCGTCTAGCATTGTGAAGGGATCCTAATGAAGACTAATGTCGTCGTTGATTGTGGGGTCAGCAGCATGACCGGTCGGCAGTAACTCTTTACGCTGAGCTCGTTTCCGGGTTGACACCGCAAGTTATATGGCCTCTAATGTTCGGTTACACACACTGCTTCTTTCTCACCATCCTGTCTGGAGTTTCCTTTTGTAGCGGGCGGATTTGTTGTTTTCGCGGGGGAACGATTCGTTGTGTGATTGAGTGGCCCGCAGACTTTGAGGACGTATCAAATGTACGCAGGCGTTCGAGCTTGCGTTCTAAATATTTTGTTCTTGTAACGAAACTATTGGACCCGCATTGAAAAGGAATGCAGAACTAGGAGGTGTGATGAAAAAGCTTCGGGTCTGATTTTGTAGCTTAAAAAGAGACGGCAGCGCAGTGATGCGCGCGCAGCAGTCGATGGGAAGGACATTGGTTTTTCGTTATACCAAAGGGCGTCGCTTTGTGAACATTTGGTGCTGCGCTACATGAGTGTTGGTGACCCCGTGCACGTGCACAATGGCGATTTTACCATGGACTTCAAACCAGAGCGGGAGCGAACATCAATTCCTCGTCAAACTCGACAAATTGAAAACAGAGACTTTTGAAATGATTTATGAGGGTTGTGTCAAAAAACTGTAGATTTGGCGAGGTGTTTTAAGTGGCACATGCACTTCAGGAATGGTAGAACATCGCTGGAAAACGAAGATTTGTGTAGCGACCTTTTCCGACCTCTCCTTGACTTCAGTGAGGTTCTGCCACTCTTGTGGCACGAGTGCAACTCTAAACACCTCGCACATCTGAGTGCTTCTTTACATAGGCCTTCTTAATAATTTCAGAGGTCTCTCTTTTCTATGTGCCGCGTTTGACATGAAATTTATGTTCGCTCTCGCTTTGGTTTACGTACAGTCTATGGAGGGATCGCCGTTATGCTCGTGCATGTGGTCAGACATACTCGTGTAGCGCAGTTCCTAATGTTCACAGAGCGACGCCTTTTGGTACAACGAGCCACGAAGGTCCTCTCCTTTGACCGCTGTGTGCACACTACTCTGCTGCCCTATCTTTTAACGCTAAAAAATCAGCCCCGAAACCTTTCGATCGCACCTCGTATAGGCTGTATGTGTACACACTGAGAAAAGGAAGTCAATGAGAGCGCGAGGAAACCAGAGCGCGGGCCTCTGACTGGAATGATTCGTGCGTAAGACGCGAGTCTAGCTGCCTTTGTACTCGCTGTTCGAACGCGTTCGAACGCGAACGCCGTGCACCGGACGCCAATGTTTGGCATTTCAACGCGTTAGAAAAGTATGTAGAGACAAAAAGCAGCTAGCCTCGCGTCGGCCCGCTCATCATTCCAGTCAGAGCTCTGCACTCAGGCGTCACCGCTCCCAATCACGTCCTCCTCTCCCTCAATCTCTACCCGCATAGTCACTGAGCAGGGGAGGAGCTACAGGGCGTCCCTTTCGAACGCCCTGTTTCTAGCAACGCGCTCAGGGTCTTTGGCTGTGCTGTTTCTGCACGTGAACGCTCCACGCTCGAGAGATGCCCGAGAGCTGTAAAGGGTAGAAAGCCCGCTATGGAGGTTCTAAAACTGAGCCTCCTCTTTTCCGTTATCATCCTGTACGTGACTAGAGGTCTCGTTCCTAATTTATTGGTAACGTAGTAAATGAGCTGCATTAACTCTTACGTATGTAAAAGAAGAAAGGGATGGGTTCATGTTTGAATGCACATTGAGCATGCGCAATAGCTTCGTTAGCCTAGATATTGACCACCCAGCTTGCGAAGTACATTGCGTTTCTAAACAATATGCATTTTTTTTTTTTTTGGCGTGCGAATACTGTGATGTCGGAAAGCGCAATCTTTACGTATTGTTAAGAAATGAAACGAGAAATTAGTTTAATAGAGTTTTTTATAAGAGTTCGATTTTTTTTTTGTCTACAGAGCGCCCTACATCGAAACACAAAACACCTCGAGGTGATAATAATTATTGACGGGATCACAAAAATATGAACCCGTATTCTTTGACATTCCCGTGTCGGTGTCACCACCTTTACAACATTGATGTACAAGCATTAAAAAGTGAAATTAGTGAGTTTTAGGAGAGTGTTTCGATACCTCAGATAACGATACCCGATGACAATGATGCGGCTCTTTGCTGGTTCAAGTGCGGCTTGCAGATTCCTCGTAAAAACACCCCCCCCCCCCCCTCCCCGGGCCTTTCTGCGTTTCACCTGAAAAAAAAAGAAAGGATTTCAGAATAAAGCACGGCTTGCGGTTTGGCAGCCTTGTACCCCCATACGTACAGTCGTACAGACTTGTGCCCCCATACGTACAGCCAAACTCTGAACAAAAGTTAAATTCGTCCAACCCCCCCCCCCCCCCCCCCCCCCGCGGCTCTTAGAAGTTTCGTGGTTTCGTTTGCGGCTCTTAAGCCTGGTCAGCCTGGCCGCCCCTGATCTATATCGTTATTCATTACCCCATCACATAAAAACGTACAAAATAAACTTTACACACAAAAAAAAACACGAAAGTCGGAAGTGCGTTGTCGAGGAATGCATCTCTGTCTCGATATGCGCCGACTTGTACAAAGGCGAGAGCTCGTCCCTGATTTCATTGGTGCGATTTCCAGTGTCCGTGTACCGTGGCCCGGAACTTCACTTCCCCAGGGTATCCCGGTCCCAGATGGGGGCGTACCTCTGCTTAGCCTCCAACGGTGTTCCACCTTCCATCAGCCGGCGCATTTTTCTAGAGGTCACGTGTAAGTACCCCCTATTTCAATACGCAATTAATTAGTCAATCACCAAGCAACCAACCAGTCGGCCACCGAATTAATTTTTCAATCAATCATTCACCGAGAAACCAATCAGTCATCCCATAAATACATCGCCAAACGACCAAGCAATCAGTGGTCCAATTTATTTATTGCCAAAGAATCAGTATGTCATAAACAAACTAACCAATTCGTCGCACCACCGATCAGCCACTCACTCAATATTTGAAATAATCAATAAAGCGACGTTTGTTTCCGATTGAATTTACAGACCGAGGGTGGCGATAAACACTGGTGTTATCTGCTGCCTGACAAGGCGCGCCTCCTCTACAAGTCTGTGGTGAAACTGGTACTAAAATTTATATATAAAAAAAATATTGCGGCAATATCGCACATATCCTCAACAATAAACCTTCATTAAAAAAGAAAAAAAAAACTCTATTACAACAAATTAGTAGACGACCTGTATTTCCAGGCTTCGTAAACGGGATGTTGTACAGTCGTAGCTAACCTATCAAACTTCAAAATGCGTTATATTTTTATTTTGACTATGAAATGATTGCTTAAACCGTGTAAGGCAGAAACAAATTATAAAAAATTTATACATTTTATAGTTTCCTAATATTTATATATTATACATATATGAATAGACATACACTCAAGTTTTCACCATTGGCTGACCAGAAAACCGCCTGGTGGCAATTAACCCGCGGCGATAGCATGCTTTGTTTGCCGTGTGTTTGAAACGTCAAGGGCATGATTTTGATTACTCCTGCGTGAATTACGTGCAGTGCAATGCGCAATTTTTATGTACAAGAGCAATACTCGACCTTGAAGGCGTACGCAGGCGATCGGACGCAAGAACGCGATATTTAATAGTAAAAAAGGAACAAACATAGCATGTAATCCTTACAAAAGCGAGATGTCCGGTGTCTTGGAAAAATCTCCGTTTCACTGCAAGAAGAAAGATGTTTGCCATCAACGTGCATGTATGATGCTCCAAGACTGTATCTAGATGGAGAGCACATAGACGTCTGAAAAAAAAAAATATGTAAATAAATATTTACATAAGCCTACCGTAAGCGTTAAGCTCCTTGTTAAAATGGCGTTAATAATAAAACCAAGAGATAAGTGTGCATGAAACTTTCCACTGCTTTAAATGTCTTACACGGTGAATAGCACTCCTTGATTTCGGTCAACCAATCTAGAAGAGATTATTGCTATATTTTGAAATTCGGTAGCAATACTGACGAGAAGGTTTTGATCCAGAAGATCCAATTTTAACCCCTCTGTAATTTTAATTTAAGAACAAAAAAAAAAAACCTTATTTATTTTTTGGCATAGTTTCTCGGTACAATGGGGGCTTAAAATCGTACTTATATACTTTGAAATCTTTCTTTTACCTTCATGCATTTTAAACATCTTAGAAAAATTCGATTGCAAGGGCTTGTGATCACGACTGTGTGACAATTCGGCACGCTTGGGTGCCTGAATGTCAGTAAGGCGAACTGGATTTCACTCTGCACTGTACTTCAAAACTTTCGACCGGAATTTTTTTTGTTAATGCGGTAGCTTGACACTGACAAATTGCGAGCCCAGGCCCATGTGGAAATTCGTTGAGACGCATCACCTTACACTAGCTGTCGCAATGAGTTGAAGTGTCTTTAGATGACTTTGATGCGCCACAGAAGTCGCTGTAGCCTCTCGGTGCATGTATTTCACAATGTCGCGAATATGGGCGGCGTTGCGTGGGAGTTTTCTGTCATGTTCGCTTAAAATATACGAGACGCAGAAGTTTGCTATGCGAGTTTGCAATACAAAATAAGACTACAGCAGCGAAGCTTAGCGTAAAGGATCTACTTAAAGGGAAACTGAAGCGGTTTTGTATTTGAGAAAAAACACTTCAATGGCCTTCATTCTACTTCCAGGATCAGGAATATCGAGATTATTTTTAAATTTTGTACACGGAGGCTTCAGAAATTAATTCTTAAAGTACCGCCGAAGCCCCTCCTTCCCGGGGTGTGACGCCACACAAGGAGTTTTCGGAATCTCTGCTCTCGCGCATCTTCAGCGCCTGTCAAAGCTATTCACGCGCACTCTTGCTATTTTCAAAAAGGTCAGAAAGAGGCGCCACAATTACCGTCATTGTGGAAAAATATACCTGGCAAGCTTGCCATTGCACGCGCTGCCCACACGAGCGACACGCGCTTGGCGACCCAAAGATCCTAGTATGACGTCACGACTGGTCGGAAGTTTGTCGCGTTTGACCGCTTTTAGTTGTACCTTTAGAGAAAACAAATGTGATATTCAGATTCACGGGATAAAAATACGCCAGAATTCACCTCTAACTCGTTTTTTTCAAGAAGTGTTTCAGCTTCCCTTTAAACTCGTTCTATTTATAACTCACGCACCACTATCTTTACTTTAAATCATTTTCAATCTCCTTCAGCAATAAAGATGGAATCAAAATGTCTAGCGCAGACAGAGCTGCCTTTAAATAGGCTTTACTTTGCAATACACTTGCGCGCGACCCAGAAAGGGTAATCGTACTTAAAAAATATTAATGACCAAAACACGACATCTCGCATTGAGATCTAGATTTAAGAAGCGAAAATAGGTGGTTATGGCGTTATACGTGTAGATATTCAACATTACGTACTTCCGTTTGCTTCTTACATATTACTCAGGCAGGTGAGTGTCATTTTATATGACTCGATAGAATAATAGCCACAAAAAAAAAAAAAAAAAAAAAAAAAAAACGCCGAAAAGCACTTTTAACGCTTTACTTATTTATGCCTGCTGAAAACTCGCTAGATCCCTCCTGTTTTCTTGTGTTCGTTTATCTCAGACAGAACAGTCTGGGGGTGCTAAGGCAAAATAAAATACAAGCTAGTCTTCTGAAGAATTTCTAACACTAAGCAATCATTCGCGAGTATGCGCTTAAAAAAACATTTTGAGGTACCGACTGCAGACTATGAGACATTAGTAATAGATTGTTGAATGTGTTCTTTTTTTAATGTCCGGAAGGATCTGTTAGTTTGAGACAATTCAGGTATTATCACCTATTTTGTACACCGGGAAAGATATATGCAAGTTTTGAAAACCATAGTCACATCTGAAAGCAAAAAAAGGAGCTTATTAGACGTTAATTTTTTCAGTATGACGTGGCTTCAACAGTTTAAATTCTCAACTAAATAGCGTGAAAAATGTTTTTTCTTTCTTTCATAACCTACCAATTGCAGCAGCGTGCCTTGTTGACTAGGTACGCACGCCTAATTAAAAAGTTTCTGATAAAGCAAATATAACAATTGGTCGAATAATTGAGAAACGTTTATCTGATTCTTTCGCTAATTATCACGCAATACTTGTGATTTGGTGCTGAGACTGGTGTTTATTTTAATAAACCTTTTTGTTTTTATTTTGTCTTTATTTTAATTGTTGTCAGTCCCTTGGGGGATTATAACAGGTAAAGGTACATAAAAACATCATTTTGACGTGCGCGAAAACAATATATTGATCGAAATCGGCACTTTCCTAAATATTCTAACAAACACATCAACTCATGAATTGACTAAGGAAGTGCAGTTCAAGAGCATTAATCAACGAATCTACGCTTGTGAAGCTAAAGAAATGTTTGTCGAAGTTGTTCCAATTTCTTGTGGTAGAAGAAAAAACAAAGAGCACCTGAAGGTATACGAATATTAAAGGAATATTTGGATAAGAGTTTGTTTCTTGTTATTCTTGTCTGAGAAAAGTTCACATACATGATGTTGTCTATATTGAAAGCGTCGTGTAAAGGATAAACAATAATTTAAGTCATCCTAATTTGCGTGATCAGGAAAGGTCAAAACACCGTACCCTTTCAGGAGCTAAATAGGGGAATCGAACCGTCCATATTTGTGGTAAACAAATCTTATTGCTTTCCTCTGAACACTTTTCAAGGATATTGATATTGGTTTGAGTATAAGGGAAACCAGGCTATGATTGCATATTCTAGTACAGAAAGCATAAGTGTAAATTAAAATTAAAAATGTGCGTCGTTTCTACCATCATTGAGCAATGATAAATATATACAACAAATAACATGATTCACCTTTAAAGAAACAAAAAAAAAAAAGAATTCCTCGCGCATGCGCGAAAAGACGCTAATGTTCCCTGTCTGGTTGAAAGCAAATGAGTGTGCCGCCGTTCAAAGGCTTACGCTCTACTAAGCTACTGCAGAAGCGAGACTGCGTCATGGGTTGCTTTGTTCCTGGTCTTGCCAGCTCAATGTATCACACGTATGAATGCGGGTATATTTTGTACGGTAAATAGAATGCCAAGGTTTTGAAAAGTGAGGTGAAGAAAACCAGACTACTTACTACGGTAATTGAATGAGTACCGCCGGAATCGCGACGAGCATTTCGTCACGGGTGAGTGTATATTGTAAGCGTTCGGAAAGTTTTACGTACACCGTTAAGACCCATTCACAAAAGAACGTTTACATAGAAAACTTCACACTGGCGTGCAAAGCTAATCGTTCAATTAGTTGCCACACCTAATGCAAACCACGAATGTCCCGGCTAGTCTCGACGTGAACAGACGTAAGCTTCCCCCTGCACAACACAACAAAACGCGAACGACACAGTGTGAACGTGCATTTAAGCCTCGTTTCTTAGTCTTTGTATAGCCCCGCACCCGAAATGCCGAAGCGTTTTACCCTCTGCAATAAGTGGCGCGCATTAGTTTGCTAATCGCCAACACTCTGTTATCTAGGCTTCATTCCTGCACGTCTGTACAATCAAGAGTAAACTTAAGAAACAATTACGGATAAAAACACTCGACTAAACGGCATTGCTCTGAGGTAATGGGTGATCTTTGCAGTCACTCCGATGATCTGGGTGCCGAACCAAGTGGTTGGCGCGGCTCTGGGAAGCAGCGTGGCGCTCGAGTGCCACACGGAAGCCCACCCTGCGTCGGAGAACTTCTGGTTCCGCAGTTCGCGCCGACTCGACGGGGACCTCTCGGCCAACGGGCTCAAGCACAAGAAGCCCAAAAGGCACGAGGCGTCAACCACAAAGACGGGACTCAAGGTATAACAAATAACACGGAAGTTACTATCTGCAAGGACAGAACGAGCGGGTTGGTAGGGATAATTAAACTCCAGGAAGAAAACAAGAAGGGACGGTGTGTTGGTCCGTCCCTTCTCGTTTTCTTTCTCAAGTTTAACTAATATCTGTGCTCTTGCTTCCAACATACGTATTGTGTGAAGGTTGGAATGCTGCACGCTCAACCGGGAAAGCGACTCAAAACCAGGGATTTCAAAAAGAACGCCTTAGCATAGGTTTATTTGTAGGATGCAATAAAACGGTAGAGTATGCTTAAGTAACCCTTTAACAACATTGGAGTGTGTACTTTCTCGGAGAACATCTTCCAGCCTCCCTTAGTTGTGGGTGTTGCTCCTCACTTCATTGATTCTTTTTTAGAGCGTAGAGCGGGCGGTGAACCGTAGTTTTCACAGTATTGATGTGTCTGCGTGCTTTCGAAGGTAAAGAATGGAACTGGGCAAACCAATGTTTTTTAATCACTTTAAGTGTGCGATTTTGGCAAATTGTTTTTAAAAACTCACTTTAAGGGCAAACGCTGGAAAGATGCCAATAGCCAAAATTATTCTACAGAAATGCGGTATTGTTTTTTTTAATTATTCATGATTCAAATTTAGGAAACTACGCAAGAGGAGTAGACGACGCATTTATACTTCCACAATTTACACAACTTTCCGCCGAATCAAACTGCAAAGCAAGCGAACAGAGCTATATTTATTTTTGTAAAAAAAAGACTCCTATTGTTCGCTCTCTGATAAATGCCCGCGGATCAACTTCCCCTCACAACTCTCGGGGATTTAATTTCCGTAAACAAATGAGGAAACTCGACCAATTATGGAACCAAAAGCGGGCTTAGATCAAAACTTCAAGCCCGCGATCTGGCACTCGGCATGATGTGAGCATATGCGACATTGTGCACGTGTCACATATCGACCTTTATTTTCACGTCTACGCAAGATCTTCTCCTTGCCGGTCGGTCAGCCTCCTCAGACCACAAATATTCGCTGAGTGCTATGCGGAAAGCAAGTCGTCTGCTCCTTGTCCAGGAATTGTGGTGACGTCAAAAAGGCGCCGACCTCTGATTGGCTCTGATTGAGAGATAGAGGGTAGACCTCAAAGCAAGCTGCCTTGAGCTCTACCCACTATTCTTCATTCAGAACCAATCAGAGTTCGGCATCTTTCTGACGTCACCACAACACCTGCAAAAGAAGCAGACGAACTTGCGCTCCGTATAGACCTTTGCAGAAATCGCCTCGTGCGCGCTGCCATCTTTGTCTGCTGGGCTGTGGAACGCCTTCCAAGCATGCGCTGTAGATCTGCTGTGCGATATATCGGACGCTGCGCATACGTCCACAGCTCAGTGACTCAGCATTTTTTGTCCGCTCGCTTCGTTCGAGACTGCCGCTGGAAAGGTCTATAGGTCAAGCAAGACAGACGCGCATTAATGTTCTAGATTTCGATGAATGCACGCCGAATAGCAAAACACTGCAATTCATAATGAAATGAGTGACGTTTCTTTGTTCGCAATGTCAATAGAGCCATGAAGCGTTTAATGGAGATAGTTTTAGTTATAATGTTGTCAGTGCCAACATAAACTTAGTTTTTTTTTTTCTTTGTTTGAGGTAACGACCACTCTTTGAGAGTAGTTGCCGATCACAATTGCAAGCACAGTAGTCGAAGGACGTATTTTCATGATGCGCAAAATCGTCATGTATCGAGCATTAACACAAGAAAAAAATCCTCCTTGTTTTTTTTTGTTTTTTTTTAGCGACAGTCAAGGTTTTTTTTAAAAGTCTTGTTATTTTAAAAGATGTTTTTCTAAGGTTTGTTAGAAACAACTCGGCTGCCAGTGTCAGAGCTGTAGGAATATTCTTTTTATATTATCCGCTTCAGCTTAAACTATTCTCGTACCTTGTTTAAACCATACAAAATATAGATTGAGGATTTTAGTAGAAAGTATTTATAACTATCCCGAAATTACCAGGCGATAATAAAGGTAATGAGAAATTTTAGCTACAGGAAAAATTACAACTTGGCTTGACATCAAAAATTATATTAAATAATGTTAAGATCACTCCAAACTTTGTTTATTTTTCATTTATTTGTTTTGCGGGTTTGACGCATAGGGGCGGGGATTAAGGCCTGATGCCTGACAATGCCTCTGCACTCCAAAGCTCGACACCTCAACATAGGGGCATAACAACAACTAAAAAAATTACACAATTAAAAAAAGCAAAAAAAAAAAAAGCAATAAGGGAAAGTAAAGACTTATTCATTTTGTAAAGAACACAATAAACATTTGATTAACGTAGAAGTTTGGCCAGTTGGTAAGTAGACATGATAAGACGGACGAAGTTGAAGAAACCACAAGACATAGCGCTGGCTTTCAACTGAAGTTTTATTCGTGTAGCTTTTAATAAGGTTTTTGTTTCCAAGTTATTTTTAAAAATAAGAACAGAGTGACGCGGGAAATAATAGAAGCTAGTGATATTACGGGACTGGGTGCTAATTGTGTTAGTGCTTCGTCACTCGTACTTTCGGAAAGCTTTCTTTCAACAACAGCAAACAAAAAAGCCTTTTTGTTTGCTGTTGTTCAGCACTCGCAAGCTTTGGCTGCCCCTCCCCTCTATATGAACTACTATCTGATTTGACAATGTTATTTTCATCTCCTATTTCACTTTATCCCCTCTAATTTCTTCTTAGGGGTATATAAAGATTCACGGGCTGTACCCTCGCTACCTGATAAAGAGCGGTCCCCGTCCGAAACGTCGTAACGAACTTAGCATTAGTAACTCCGACAGTGCGCATATTTGACTCATTAACTTTTCCCTGTCCATCATTTTATATATACCCTACTTCACGTATATATATATATATATCAGCTACAACAAATTCAGATGGAATTTCAATAAAAATATGTATTTTACAGCGGAGCTATTAAGGGCTAGTTTCCCCGGTATCGTGTCCGTCAGCAAACAAGGGATGACACTAAACTGTGGGCAGCTACCGCCATCTATGAGCGACGGCGGCAACCAGACAGCCGGCAAGCCGGTTGTCTGGTTGTCGCTCATAGATGGCGGCAACCTTGCCTGCCTTTCCACTCTGGCTTGCCGACTTGCGGCCGGCCATTGCTTTATTCCCACCATAGTGCAACTACGCTGGTCTTCCTTCTTCACCAAATTAAAAAGGCTGAAAGTGTATTTTTTTTTAAATTAGATACATATATTGTGATTATGTTCTAAGGGAAATACACTATCCAGATGAAAATGCGATTGCACAGCCAAGCAAAAACCTTCTGCAAACCCTTTAGAAACTAGAAAACGTGCGATGTTTAGATCCGTTATATTTAAAGTTATAGTTGTTTTTGAAAAGTTCAAGTTTGTCGGCAGTAGTTGGTTCGTATGGCAGGCATCATTATTTTTGGATATCTAGTCGGATATCCACTCAAGATGTCTGCTAATGTTGTCTAAACTCTATTTTTATGTATTACTTGTAAAAGCCCGATGTAATACACTTCGTCTGCCTTAAACATATTATATTTGATGAAAAGTGTCTGTGTCCTTAAATTTCTAATATGCTTTTTATTATATTCACACAATCCTTTTTTTTTTGCGGTAGAATAAGGTATCCTGTCGTCGTTCTCTCGCCAAAATACCATAACTGATTTTGGAATATAATATATATCCCACTTCACACATTACCTATTGATTGTCCAGCAATATCGAAAATGAAACTCACTTTTCTCACGCGCATTAACTAATTCAAAAATATATAAATAATTTCCCTGCTTTGAATATCTCTGTCTGATCACCCGGAGATGACAAGTTAAAGCTAAGTAGTAAAATCTAGTCACAGATTCTATCACATGGCCGCCAGTTTTATTTACACTGAATCATTGGCTTGAGATTCTGAGAATCCCCGGCGTAAGTTATCGTCATATTTCTGCAGTTAATATTGATTTGTGGTTTTGTTTCTTAAGGTGTATATGAAGCTGTCTATGTGGAATCTGCGCAAGGAAGACTACGGAACTTACCACTGCGTGGCGCAGAACGCCCTGGACAGAACAGAAGGAAAAATACAGCTTCACGGTGCGTACAAATGAAAATTAAGCTCCCGTATTTAGTTTCCCTGAAATTGAAACATGCACTGGGCGGACGACGGCGATTTTCAGAAGTGAATATTTATGCATGTATTCGAGATGCTTTCCGGACCACCAAAGGCATTATAGAAGGAGGATACGTGAACAAACCCCGTTACACACAGAAATAGTGAAGATTAAGCATTCAATATGACAATTGAGAACAACAATAGTGTCCGAACAGGGAAGTAATCTCATGGCTTTTGACTGTGTTTCGAGTTGCGTACCTTGGAGTACACGCAAATATATCGTACCTAAGCGGACATCATGTGCACTTAAACACTCTTGTGTCGCCTGGGTTTAAACGTAATCTGTCTTGAAAGTGTTACGTCTTTAGAGGCAAGTTACAATAAGTTGGGCATTTCCAGTGTGGTTGAGTTGCAAAAACAGAATTGGTTTGCTCCCTTAAAAAAAAAGTGAGAGCCGTTTGCAACTCCCTGTAACACTAAATTAGAGCGCGGCTCTTGAGGAGGAGGATGGAAGGGTACAGAGGGGAGGGTATACCACTCCTCCCTCCTCCTCGCCTCCTTATCCTCCTCCTCCCCTCATCCTTGAATCTCCTCCGGGGGGGTCACGTGAACTCGGGGGGGGGGGGGGGGTCACGTGACCTCGGGGAGGGGGGTCACGTGACTTCGGGGAGTCACGTGACCTGGGGAGTCACGTGACCTCGGGGGGTCATGTGACCTGGGGGTCACGTGACTACGGGTGCGGGGGCGCTCACGCATTGCATCATGAGACATTTCCCATAATGCACCGCGCGGTTACGCCGACGGCGACGGCGACGCCGCTCAAGCTGGAAACGGGCGCATAAGAGCTGCGCTCTAAAAGGAGCAGCCTTAAAAAGCGTGGTTTTGTCAAGCAATTCACTTAATGTCAAAACTGTGGCGACTAAATCGGCTGTAACTTTCGAGTTAAAAGAGGAATTCAAAGTGTAACGATGAATGCGTTATTTTATTATATATCCCTTCAATAATTACGCACTCTTGCGGTCGATCCGAAAACACTGCAAAGCCGCGTGCGCAAAAAACATCGACAAGTGGGCAAGTCTGTAACTATTACGACACTCACTTCCAAAGGACCCTACATAATTGATGGACTTGCGATTTTCATGGTAACTTTCGCTCGCGCCACCTTGCAGTGGTTTCAAATCGACCGTAAGGGGGCGTAATTTTTCAAGAGGTCTATTGCGAAGAGCAGCTCAAGGATACGGCGGTACCTCGTAAAACATAGGTAGTGTGCGAAATTGTATCGTTCGTTGTCTCGCGTTATTTTGAAAGCATTGAAGTAATGTATTTAGCTTAGTGTGATCGGAACTTCCGTCCGATTGAATGTTCACTTCGGTGCCCTAATACATGTACTCTTTACATCGTCCGGCCTTTTCGGCACCTCCGGCTGTGTATAGCTTAATCCAAAAGCCCGTCTAACAACTTTGTAAAAAGTTCGACGACCACAGCGCGTGTCTACGGGGGCCTCTTAATATCCGAACGTCCTCTTCGGATCGTGGCAACCGAAAATTATTAATCTCATTTATTAGGTTCTCAGACGCGGCGGTCGCGGCGGCCGAATGAGAAGGCCCATACAAGGCGTAAGTAATCACCGCCGCACAAAGACCTCCGCCCACGCTTCTCACGCACCGTGTCCTTCCTACACTCTGTTTCTCCGTACGCGATGGACCGCGGAGAAAGCTACGAGCCATCCCCGCTTATTCAGCTCCCTGAACGAATCGCGTGACCTGGTACTGCGCGGCTTCGCCGCACCCCTCTCCAAGGTCACACGACAATCACAGGGCATTGGAGACTGGCTTCGGCGGGTCGTAGAGTTCTTCCGTGTTGCACTGTGAGGTGGAGAGAAGCGTGCACTGCCTTCCAGTGAGCAAACTAAAAGAGATGCAGAGTCAGTGGTGAGGCCGTAAAGTATAGTCCGGTAATATGAGCTCTCAGGCGTCCGAAGCCAGGCTGGCGATTATGTGGGCATCACCGGCTTCCTGATGGGGAGCCTCCCCACCCCCCCTCTCGAGGAGACCCGCGGCTGCAATCTTAAGAGGCTCTCTGAAGGAACGTTGACCTGCCCCGCTCTGGGCCGATGCCGCGTACTTCCGGAAGGCGAGGTTTTGGTCTTACTTGTCATGTTTGCCTTTGTTCACGTTTAATGTGGAGGAACTCATAACCATCAAAACTATAAACATGACGGAAGTTAGGCTTGTTACGTTTATTGAGTTAACTCTTTGTATGCTAATACTGATACTGATTATCCGAGAGGTTGTTTTGAAATGATTTTTCCGCTAATATATACACACAACACACACAACACACACAACACACACACACACACACACACACACACACACACACACACACACACACACACACACACACACACACACACACACACACACACACACACAAGGTATAAATAAAAATGGATGGTGATATATTGCAAACCAAACGTCTTCCGAGATATGCTCGGAGGAGGCTTGAGGTTAAAATAGGGATATGTTAGTGTATTATGATGTTAGGTGTGCTTCTAAGTTGTTGTGTTTTTTTTTTCATTCGCTCATGAAGAATAATTAACGATATTAATCAGACATTTAATACATTCGTGAATGATGCGAGAAGAAAAGAGTATTTAAACATCATAATGTAATACCTGAGATGTGGTGCGGAAAAATTAAGAAACGTTGAAGTTTAAAAAAAAACAAAAAAACAACGACAACAGTAGGACAACATATTCTACGAACGGGGTTACGTACATATCTGCTTGTTTCACTCGCCGAAGGAATCATCGACTGATTTCTTTACGGCAGGCTGGGCTGACGAAGATTGCCGGTCAATAAGCCCGATTTCAAAATTAATTATCGTCATGGACACGGTAACCTAAAAAGTGTCACAGAGTTCTTACCGCATTTTGTCGTCATTTGGTTACGCAGGAAGAAATCTTCGCTGGCTAAAGCCCTTTTATAATAACTTATAATCACGTGTGTGCATGCATAATTCAGGAGCGCGGGCACTCTTTTGAATTTTATTTTTGATTGAAATTCGTGTGCACTATATTTTAGCGCCTAGATAAGTGCCTGAAAAAATCACTTCTTACGTAGCAGTTTGACTGAAGCCCTTCGATTCTGAGGAAAAAATATCAATTGTTTTTTCGCTTTAACTGCCTCGTTGTGTGCATGTTACTCGCTGTTGTAGTAAAGGTGCTGAATATAGATAGATATTTTGGTGTGGTTATATCGTTAAGAGCTGCGTGATGTTTGTCACAACTGGTCTCCTAAGTTGGTATACTCATGTAAGCAGAGATAGCTGGATCATTGCCGTTCGGGAAAGAATCTACAAGATGTAGCATAGATTAGGAATGTAGTTTTCGAAAACTTTATTTGCCTACGAAGAGAGGCTACATCACGAGGGGAAAATCAATTATTTAGTTGGCACCACCTGTTCAATTGATAAAGAATTAAGAATTAAATCAAATACAGCTGAGAACAAATAAAAAAAAGAAACAAAGAGAGCGAAAAATGTCAGTGACCTCCGGGATATTTGGGTACACCATAGTTCGATATTTCCTCTAGCGGGCAAAGTTATAATAATTTCTGAGCTCACTAAGAAGTTCATATCTCAAAGTTCAGCAATTATATATATATATATATATATATATATATATAAATTTTTAAACTTGTAGTACTGCGTGCGGTAAAGCATATAAACATTCACAAGCCCGCTTCTTAACAGCAGGATTCAACTTTTCAACATGTCTGTGACTCTAACATGTTTTATAAATATAAATTATACATAAATCTCGAAATCAGCATCACTACAACAAATATTAGGCTCCGTTATCACCTCCATTATTAAGTTAATGTTTCCGTATGGCCTTGACAATAGTGTTTGCAATGAGCTTTTCTGTGTCCATAATATTGCTTGAAACTGCATATAATGGTCTGTACCGCTGTTCCGTCCTTTATTCAGTGGATTCGCTTATGTTTCAGAAATTGCAGCACCCTCTGGAAAAACAGAGCCGCCGCCTGAACTTCCAGTACCTGTGACAACGTCGGAGCGAAACCAAGGTTCGGATTACCATTCCTATGCCTGTTGTAGTGACCCGAATGTCGTTTCATTATAAATATATCATTTAGTTTTATTAGTTCAGGCTTAATTAACCCGCATAAATTGTGCCTTCAAAACAGAATTCGGCGATTTTTTTTAAATACAAAAATGGTTCATCTTTAATTTTCTTTAAACCTGCTTTGAGCTCTATACGGTGCAAAACAATTAGTTAATGAGCTATACCACACACTAATGGTATTGCAGCGTGCCTGAACTCTAATTGATCCTATTCAAATTTAAAGATTCGTTACATTATTTTTAATTATTCGTGCACGCAAATTAAAAACGCACTCAGATTTCTCGGTGACAAAATTAAGAGCCCTTACCTACACTGCGGGAGATGTGCGGAGTAAGGAACTTTTTACTTGGAATCTTGAAGTTGAATAGGTCGAACGTGCGATACTGAAGCACAGCCTATAGAGGCAAGAACCTACGAAGATGCACCCAAGATCACACACACACACACACACATACGTTGGCATGAACACACGCACACACACAGACACACAGAGTATGACACAGACGGACAGACGGACAGGCAGATATACAGATATACAGAGCTGAAAAACACTTCATGAAAGCAACGCACTGATGGGTACACATTTATTTAAAAAAAACGCCTCCTGAAATCTTTTGATTGACTGCCTAATTTTTGATATGATGCTTAGATTAAGTATTCTAGCAAAATTTCGTCTGTCACTAATTTAAATTCTTTTTTGTTCTGTTTAGTTTCGCACACACAGGGTCGCGTGCACAGAACTCCGTCGAGCTCAATTTCCCAGAAGTCCACACGACACACAAACTGCAGGCGTAGAGACACGTCTCTCCGCAAACACGCACAAAACGCACGCACATGTTTTCCTCTTTCTCTCTCCTTCTCTTTGTGCTTCTCTCTCTCTTCCTGCACTGCAATTTTTTCGGGCATTAGCGGCGCCGAGTATGAGACAGCTTACTGGATCGCATAATTTTGAATAATGGGTCGAGGTTGAACGAGTGGGCCTATTCCTAACCGAAACACGGAGCTTATCGGTCTCTGAACTTTGTTATTTTGCTCCGCTATGCTTCGTCTCTTCGTCGGCAGCGAGGGCGGTGCATGTTGCCATCTTCGTTAGTGTCGGATAACTAGTTTCGCTATCGAAACCCGAGGGCCAACCGTAAACACTCGAGCCGCTCGTGCATTTCTGCGGATCCCTTGCCGGAGGTTGGGTGTTGGAGCTTAATGTCTCGCCCAATATGTTTTCTTTTCTATTTTACTAAATCTATGATTCTGTTGGAGACACGTATCCAAACTCATAAAAGGGACTATATTCACGGAGACCCAGCGTTACTAGAACCACTCAGTTGGGAAGCTGCCATAGAGCCTGCTCTAAAAAAGAGGCACCAATTCGTACTCGACAACCGAGCTAATAGCGACCGCAACGCCGCCATTTTTCCCGCAGCGGCCACTCGGGGAACTGCAAGGCTGCTTGTAATGGTTCAGGAGCATCGTATTCGATAGCGTCTTCGGTGGTTGTCCTCTTTCGGCTTTAATCGGCCGCTTCGGCGCCGAAACATATACGGTGGAAGGGGTTTCAGGGATGCCGTCCCCCGTCTCTCAAGCGGACGCGCCGCGAATTATTTCCGGAATCAGGACTCGCCCAGGTCGGGACGCGCTACCTGAAATCACCTGGTGAGACATGGTTGATTAAAAACAATATTAATTGTGCTGCGAAACATTGTAAACTAAACATTTGAGGAAATATCACGCGCCTGTTATTTTGTACTAATCTCCAAAAAAAGTTCGTACAAAAAGAGTTTTCTCCGTTTGTTTTTACGCAAAAACATGCTTTCTGAAAGTCCAGTGTGACCACAGTAACGATGAATAAATCTTTATTTAGCGAGCATCAGGGGCAGATGATAGGGTATCCGCCCGGTGGAGAGCATCCTTATTCCGGGATACCCTAGCTGCGGCTGGATATCCGGGTCCTCGTCACCAAGTCTTTTTGGATCCCAGGGTCCGGGCTGATCAGACAGGCCATCCACTGCTCGTAGGATGGGGTGGGATTGGGAGTAAGGTCCGGGGTTCGTTGGCTTTCCCATACCTGATGGTAAAGGTTGTCGGGAGAAGGACAAAAATTACAGGTGGCGGGGTATTGAGCGGGATAGATGGGGTGAAGAAGGGTGCTGTGAGGATATGTTTTGGTCTGCAGTCTTCGGAGGGCAGTGGCTTCATCTATTGATAGTCTTGGGTGCGGTGCCGGGTATTTTCTTCGGTCGTGACGGTAGTGGGCTAGTTTGTCGGCATACTTGATGAGCAGGTCGGTCCTGGGGGCAACAAGTGGGGTTGTTCCCTCTTGGGTAATGGCATATGCCATTACCCAAGATCATTACTTTCGAGGTACTCGTGTCCGGGTACCCAGATGAGGTGTACTTCGGGGAGCCGGGGGATGGTCTTGAGGATGCTAAGCGCTGTTTTGGAGGTGCGTCCCCGTAGGTATAATTGCGACAAGCTGCCTGGGAGTCTGTGAGCACTGTGATTATATGGTCGCCTGTCGTTGCGGTTAGGGCAATAGCAATTTCCTCGGCGGCATTGTAGATGCTGTGCGGACTGTGAGGGCGATCATTTCTTGCCCTGCTGCATTGGTTACACATACAGCATGGGCAGGCTTATGCGGATACGGGGACGCGTCGGTGTATTTTGCAGTTGGGCTATCGTCGTATTTGGTGTTCATGGTTTGTACTCTAGCAATGCGCCGTGCCTTATTGTAAACCGGATGCATGTTCTTCGGGATCTGGTCTAGACGAATGGCTTTTCTTAGGTGCAGAAGTACGCGTTCTTTGTGGTCTCGCAAGGGAGGTGTCGCGTAGCCTAACTTTATCAGTGTGGCTCGTCCGGTAGCTGTTAATTTAAGGTGTTCTAACTGAGAGATGTGATGTGCCTCTTGTATCTTTTCCCAGGTGTTGTGAATTCCTTGTCGCAACAAATTCTTCGTTGAAGTTTTGGGAGGTAGTCCTAAGGCGGTCTTGTATGCTTGGCGCAGGGCAATAGTAAGTTTTGATTTTTCGGTTGTTTTGAGAGACAAATATGGCGTGCCATAGGCGACCGGCTAATGAGTATGGCTTGTACAATGCGTAAGGTGTCAGATTCTTGCATGCCAAATCTACGATGTGATACACGGTGTATTAGGTGCATAAGTTGGGAGAGTGTCCGTTGAAGCGGTGCAATGGTGTGGAGACCCGATTCGTTTTTGGGGATCGTGAGGCCAAGAATACGGAGGTGTGGAACGTTGTGGACAGGTTTTCTTGCTATGGTGATCTCCGGATCCGAGATGCTTCGTTTACATTGGTGCGCCGCCTTCCTGCAGAGAGTAAGGAGGGCGGATTTTTCCGGGGCACACTCAAGGCCCCTGGCGCTGAGATATTGATGTGCTTCTTCGATGGCGCTTTGCATGGAGTCCTGTTGCTCGCCCATGGATCCCGTAGGAGTCCATAGGGTGAGGCCATCTGCGTAGATTGCGTGACTTAGATGCGGGATATTTTGCAAGTGTGGGGGAAAGTCCTTCTTAGCGGTGACCACAGTAAAGAATAAAAGATTAAGGGTGGCGCTGTTACCGTATTTAGCTCGGTCTCGGTGGATGCTAGTGGCCCAGGTTTCAACGGGGAGTTTTCGAACAGAGAGTTCTAGTAATATTGCTGAGACCTAAAGAAACTGGTCATATTATGTTCTTGCTCTTTCCTCGTCACTGGTTCTTCGGAGGTCTTATAAGATGACGCCGATGACTCGGCACTCGCCACACACCACGTCTTTTTTTTTTTAAATTGTCACTAACTACGGACGTTTGCAAGTACGGCCTCGTGGCGCCACCATCTTGCCGCTGGTGAGTGTATGTACATCGTCTGATAGTCGAGCTTTTCTGAGGCGTGCTCAGGGCCTCAGCAATGCTCGACTTTCAGACGCTCTACACCTACACCGACAGCAGGATGGCAGTGCCCAGAGGCCGTATACTTGGAAACGCTCATCCGGAGGGAGAGCCGTCCGCTTCTTGCGCAGGGGTTGCGGTGAAGTCAGAACGACGCCGAATGGTGATTGGCTTTGATTGGAAGGATACGGGGTAGACCTCTACGCTAAATGTATCAGTCTGCCCACTATTTTTTTTTTGTTTTCTTTTTTTCAGTTGGTTAATAGGAGTTTGAAGTTCTGACATCATTGAGACTCTCGAGCAAGGAGCAGACGAAATCGCGCTCCACATAGACAGGCCCTAGCGATGTTTCGAGGGAATGTATATTTAAGGGCGTGTTCGAGGGGCCGCATCGCGAGGCGTCGACGGTCTCGAGACGACTCTTCCGCGATAGGTATAGCGTGAAGACGCAGTCAAAACTGCTCGCCGATTATACCCAGGACGAAGGAAGTTTGCTGCAGGCTTGATGACAAAATTATGTGGAAACGCGCCTCGGGCATCTTTTAAAGCGTGTTTGCCACATGAATACGTACGCTGCGAACATGTCTCCAGGCAGTTTTTGTATGACCAACGTGACAGAACTGTCAATCAAGAAAAGACGTTTCAGACGGCGTCAGACGGCGTCAGCAAAACGTTTTTGTATCCCCAGTGCGAGAGGAAAGGAAGACACAGAGCTTAGACAGTGTCAGCGCGCCGTTTTTGGACAATGTATTTAGCAGTGTGACCGCGACTTGAAGAGACGCGCGAGGCAAGGACCACAGTTCCCGACTCCGACCTCCGCAGTCAAGTGAAGCGAGCGAGCGCGGTTTCGTCGCGAGTCGCTCCGCCGGCTTCTTCTCACCTTGCCGATGAGCGGAAGGCCCGCTCAACGTTGCCAGGAGGCGAAAGAGGGAGCGCGGTGGCTACGAGGTGAAAGTCAGCCGTCGGCTCTCTCGTCGGGACTCAATTACGGCTATCAGGGACGCCGCGAGGACGCTTCTCCCCCGCCGCGCAGGGGAAAAGGGGGAAGGACGGGAAGTTGC